AGAGAGAGAGAGAGAGAGAGAGAGAGAGAGAGAGAGAGAGAGAGAGAGAGAGAGAGAGAGAGAGAGAGTCGCCCACCTTATGTGCAGGCCTCCTCCAGTCTTGTTCTGTCCCTGCTGGGTCGCGCCTGGCACCTGCCAAGTCCTGCTGGGTCACACACCTGGCAACTGCCACGACGACATGGGAGCTCCGAATCTATGGACGATGGCGAAAACGGGCAGCGAGGACGACGACGGGTCAGGGGACATCAACAACGGGCAGGGAGTGTGGGACCGTGAGGGGAAGCAATGCGAACGGGCGGGAGCCTGGACTCTGGAGGCAATGGGCCCCACTCCACTACTACCGAAACTTTTGAAAATGACATTGAATCTTCCGCTGAAAGTTGGGAAGATACACTGAACTTGTTTTTTCCTCTGCTGGAGAAAAGAAATGGGAGCGAGGCCGACTTGAAAGGCCTACCCGACGGGAACCTCTACCCGCCCGTACCCACCCCTTTTTTATTTGTGTTACCTGTACCTGCCCATACCCGTCTGTTTTTTTTTTCTGGCCACCCATACCCGTACCCGCCCCTACCCACCCATGTCCGAACCTGCCCCTACCCACCCATGATCTCCAAAAAGGCCAACTGTGCCCGCCCTAACAACCAGCACCTTTTGTTTTGCCTGCCCATACCCAGCGCCCCCTTCGGAAGGGGTACCCATACCCGCCCATAACCTGGCGGTTACAGTTGGGTACGGCCGGGTACGGGCAACGGTTACCCGTTTGCGCTCTCTGCCGACCATCCTCAATAGCGAAGTGGAATTGGAAGTCATTGACTACTTAGAAGGGTAAGAGTCCTTGGCTCATGGCCAAAGTTAATCTTCAGACCTGACACTGCGATTCGTAGTTTAGAGTTTGACCCAGCAGAATGGGCTTGGACGCTGGACAAGACAAAGAATATTAAATCCAAAATTCCAATTCACGAATACACAGTTAAACTGGGGTACAGACTGTCACTGAAAACCAAAGATTCTGATCCCACCATTAAAAAAAGATGGCAGACAAGCTCACACAGGTTCAGTGGAAGACGTTCAAGTCTATCAGGCCAGTTAAAATTAGAAGCCTGGCTAATCACTTACGTGACACTGCCAGTGAACCAATGGCTACACACTAGGCGAAAGGGTTCAGATCCCAACAG